GGAGATGGCTCAGTAGAATAAGCGCTTCCCTGGCAAGCACAAGGGCCTGAGTTCAATCCCCAGTTCTGCCAAAAAACCCAAAACAATAATAAAATAAAAACCAGTTTAAAAAAGAAAAGTATGGGCTGGCAAGATAGCTCAGTAGCATAACTGCCTACCTGGCAAGTGCAAGGACCCAAGTTCTATCCCCAGTACTGTAAAAATAAATAAGTAGGTAAAGCCACTGATGGTGGAGCCTGAGACAGGAGGATTGCAAGCCAAAGCCCAGCCTGGGCAATTTGGAGACTGAGGGAAAACTCCCCCCAAAACAGTAGGACTGGGCTGGGGAGATGGCTCAGTGGTCTAAAGCACCTACTTTGAACAAGCTTAGCAAAGCACAGGGACCGCGGTTCAATCCGCCAGCACCACATGCCAGCCAGCCCCGCCCCCAGGCGGGCTGAGCTGGCCACACAAAAATAAATAAATTAATTAATTAATTAAAAAAAAACAGTAGGACTGAAGGCGTAGCTCAGTGGTGGTAGAGCACCCCCTGAGTTCAGTCCCCCTGGGGTGCTGGGGGAGAGGGGGTGTAGCTTGGTGCCACAGCACCAGGCCCTGGTTCAATCTCCACCACTGAAGGAAAAAAAGGAGAAAAGGAAAGAAGAAAATATAAAACCAGGTGGGTTATGAACTTCCTGCCCCACGGCCAGGAAACGAGTCACAGGCAGCAGGGAGAATCTGTTGGAGAAGGGCTTGTGCTGCTGCTCCACAAACACCACGCTTCCACGTCTGCACTGCGCTGCGGGAGACAGCGGCTTGTGATGGGCAGGCAGAGTGGGTTGCGCAAAGTGAGCTGGATTTACAAGGTTGCCTTGAATATTTTTTTTTAAAGATGGGTGTCTGGGAAATCCCTACTTTTTTGTTCAATTCTACTGTGAGCCTAAAACTACTCTAAAAATAAAGTTTATCACGTGTGATGGTGTATGCCTGTAATCCCAGCACTTGGGAGGCAGAAGCAGGGGGATCACTTTGAGTTTGTGGCCAGCTAGGACTACAAATTGAGAAGAAAGGAAGAGAGAGAGAGA